AACATTTTATGCCCAGCATGGTGTTGAAGAACTTAGGACAGTGCCTGGTACGCGCTAAAAGTTTAATAGGGGTTAAATGAATGAATAAACAAACTCTCAAAGAGAATTTTTTTTTTTGCACCAGACCAAGCTGCCAATCTGAGTACAAGTTAACCTGTTCAAAAAGATCACTTAATTCTCTGTACTTCAATGTCCTCATCTGTCCTGCAGCTCCTGAGAGAAGAGGAATGTAATTGACTCATCTGTTTCTATGACAACCAATTCTACAGCCATCCCACCTTTAATTACTTTGTTCAAAACCTATGCACTGCTATTAACCACTCAGCTTCTCAGCAAACCTGAAACCAGACATCACCACATTCACTCCTACTGCTACTCTTCCCGACACATCAAGACCAAGGCTGAGCAAACTTTCTGTAAAGGGCCACACACAAATATCTGCAGTTTTGCAGGCCATTTGGTCTCCATCACCACTGCTCAATTCTGCAATTATGGGGCAAAAGAAGCCGTACGTAATATTTAGATGAATGACCATAGCTGTGTTCCAATAAAACTTTACTCATGAACTGAAATTTGAATTTTATATAATTTTCATATGTCACAAAACGTTTTTATTTTCCCCAACCATTTAAAAATGTAAAAATCATTCTTAGCTCCAGCGCTGAAATAAACAGGTGGCAGGTTAGATTTCCTTAGTGATCCAAACCTTTTCCCACTGCTAAAAAGCAGCACTGAGAGCTGAAAAGTATTTTCTGAAAAAAGGTTCTGCAGAATCAGCTGGCTGACTTCTCTCTCTTCTTCTTGCTTGCAATTTTAACTTACAAATAATTTGAAATCAGAAGAACTGAGATAGCGAGGACTATAAAACTCACCTGTTAATATTTAATCATAGCAGTGCTGACTGATAAAAAATGTTTACATATCTTTTAAAAATTACATTAAAGTCTTCTCATTACACACAGACAATTTCTCTATCAATCTTAACTGACATGGAATTTTACTTTCTTCCCTCTATCCTCCTGACCTCAAAATTTGTTGCCTGAATGAATAAAATGCAAATATTAATAGAAGCAGTGACCACTGGTCTTCCTCTATAAAAAATGATATTTTTAACTATATAATATTAAAAAGATTAACAATACTGGATTTTAAAAGGCTGGCAAGAAACATATACCCTTGGTGGTTGTATAAATAATTAATAGTACAATCCTTCTGGAGGGAAAACGTTTGGCAAAATTTATAAAAAGTTAAAATGTATATAACTTTTTGACAACATTTATACTTCTAGAAATTTAAGAAAACAGACAAGTCAACACATATTTATATACAGTGAGTTTTATACTTTGAAGAATTATTTATAATCATAAAAACATTAAAATAATTTAAACGTCCAACATAAGGCTTGGTTAAATAAATCATGAATGGTATACAATGAAATTCTGGGTAGGCGTAGGAATAATGATGTAAATAATCCAGGTGCAGTGGCTCGCACCTGTAATCCCAGCACTTTGGAAGGCTGAGACGGGCAGATCGCTTGAGCCCATGAGCCCGTGAGTTCAAGACCAGCCTGGGCAATATGGTGAAACTCCATCTCTACCAAAAATACAAAAATTAGCTGAGCATAGTGGCACAGACCTGTCCCAGCTACTCGGGAGGCTGAGACAGGAAGACCACTTGAGCCCAGGAGGCAGAGGATGAGCTGTGAACATGCCATTGCATTTCAGCCTGGGCAACAGAGCAAGACCCTATCTCAAAAAAAAAAAAAGGAAGGAAGGGAGGGAGGGGAGGAAGGGAAAGAAACAATAACGTAAATAAGTAGTCCACATAGATATGTCCACAAGATACTGAAAGAAAAAAAAGCATTATAAACTGCATGTACTGTTTGATCTCAATTGTAAAAATTTCTACATACGGGTTGTAAATGTACCAGTGTATATGTGAGACTGAAAACAGAGAAGCAGCGAAGCAAGGAGTTAAAAGAACGTTCAGGAAGACATTCACAGTGGTTGCGCCTGGATGGTAGGAGTTTCAATGATTTTTATGTTCTTGTATATATTTTTCTGTATTGTTTCTATTATGTTGCAGTGAGCATGTATTAATTTTAAAATTTAAAAGATTTATTAGAACATATAACTCAAAGAGTGACCGCTAATGTAAACTGTGGACTTTGGGTAATAACGACGTGTCAATGCGAGTTCATAGGCTGACAAAGGCCCCACTCTGCCGCAGGAGGTTGATAGTGGGGAAGGCAGTGCATGTGTGGGGACAGCGGGTATTTGGGAACTATCTGTACTGTTTGCTCAATTTTGCCGTGAACCTAAAACTGCACCAAAAAAAAAAGAAGTGTATTTAAAAAAAAAAACAAAGCTTACTAAAATAATTCTTATCCAAGCAATTCTAAAGTTCTGTTAATTAGAAGCAATTTGAGTCCCATAAAAGTACATCTAAAAGGCTTTTATCAGAGGTGGTTTTAAAATACGGCAGATTCCTCGGCGCGGATGGGGAGAGTCAAGAGAACGAAAACACCAAGTCCTGAGCGCCAGCTAGCTGGTGGCTCCCTGCCAGAAACCCATCGAAGAACGCGCTCTCCTTGTGAGAACCTATTTTGTGCATTCACCCTGAGGATACTCTACTGTTCCTCTCCTGTTATTTCTGATTTAACAGAATGTTTTCAGTGAAAGCTTAGAGAACTTAAGACTGGGTTAGATAATCAAGGGCTCAAGGAGAGCAATTTAACACTTTGTCTTAGATTAGCTTTAAGATGGAATTCTGGCTGGGGTCTAAGACCCTGCTGCTAAAAGATAAGATGGTCTTAGGGGATTTGATGGAAGAACAAATACCCAAGATGAGATTCTGATGATAAGCCATTCCTGTTACATTAATACAAGGCATTCTGATGCAGGTCTGAGGGTAAGAGCAGAGTTGGAATAAATTAATGAGAAACTACTAAGTCTTACCTCAATGTTCATTTTATTCTTTCTAAGAAATATTTACATTTTAATTTATACTTCCTTTGCCATATACACACTTACACATGTATGTCACATCTATTGACTTTTATTTTAACAGAGCAAAAGGCTTACAGGTTTCTATAGCAAATGTATACTTTGTAGTCAGAACTACTTGAATGAGTTTTTTTTAATTGCAGGAAGACAAAAGCCACCCTTGATAAGAACTAGGATTCTTATCAAGGATTTGCAAACTCTAGTAGTACAGTATATAAGAAGTATCTTACATTAACAATGGGATGTTAACAGGTTTATAGAAGAAATTCTAATAAGTCATGGTTCCAAATTCTCAACAACTATCGAGTCATACTATGTATGAATCTCAAAGCAAATGAAGCTTAATTTACAAAAAGGACTATTAATAAATGATACGATATGCCCAACAATATCAAGTTGTTACATGGGATAAAATAGGTACTACTAACTTAAGTTTAATATTGATGGCACTTGTTCAAGATTAGTGTTATAAACACAGCACTAGAGTAAGCAGTTTCTGGTTCCTTGACATTATTCTCACTAAACGTAGTGCTAAACCTGGTGAGCAAATTTGTTACTTTCCCTTGGGAAACATCTAAAATTAAAAATGCAGTTTATTTGGGAGAATAATTTTGTGTCCAAGACATTTTTAATCACGCAGGCATTATCTTAACATTTTTTGGCCAGGCAGCTTTTCTACAAACACAGAACTCTTACACCTCAAAAGTGGTGAAATAACAGAATGCAATGACTCTTGTGGTAAATCCTCATTTCCTAAGACACCCCCCGTTAAGAGTCAGAAGATACATTATAACAAATTCATAAGAAACAAAGAACTCAAAATTATTGGGAGAAACTGTCGGATTTTTTGAGTTGGGAAACAGCTTAGAGCATGAAGAAAAATAGCAGCATACCTCAACCATACAAATGCCACAGAACCTCTTGATGAAAAGTGTCCACACATTTCCTAGCCATATTTTATTTTTAGGCTTTTATATGTTAATGTGTAAAAAACAGATGTGATTCAATTTCAGACAATCTAATAGGAATGCTTTTCCTCACCAGCCAAAAACTTAACTTGTTTTGAAAAGGAGTCACACCATGGAGCTCCTTTAAGAATTCAGGGGGCTTCCAGGGGGCACTGACTTGAACTAAATTCATCACAAATGCTGAATTCCTATGCAATACCCCAGGGAACAACAAAAGCAACAATGACAAATTTGATCTTCACAACTATCCTAGGAGATATCTTTTATCTGTTTTTTAAATTGAGGGTTTTCTAGCCCAGAGGTTATATACCCTGCTCCAAGTCACGAAGCTAGAGGTAGGATTTGAACTCAGGCAATGCAATGAAAACCTTAACTGCCTCCCAGTGAGGCAGGGAGAGATGCATTCTAGTTCTGCATCTACAGGCCTCTCGAGTGGAGCCCCACAGAGAAGGAGAGCTCAGCTCTGTCTCCTGACTGCTTCCCCTCTCAAAGGAGCGTGCAGATGCCCTGCTGTCTTCCAGGATTGCTCAGAAAACATGAAATTAATAGATGAAAAACTCCTGAAAAATTACAAGCGCTATATATGAGCCATATGCTAAATATATCCAACTCTGAATCTCCTAGCAACACCGAAATTACTTTCTAAAATATAGAGAAGAACCTAACAGTGCTTTCTTTGCAGCCACCATAGTGTCTTTTATGGGGTTTATCTGGAAGTCTGTGAAGTGACAAACCATCGAACAGGAAGTCAAAGTCTTAGTTGCAAAGCAAAACACCTTGGACACGGCAATATAAAACATGGATTTGACATTTATTGTTGAGGACAGCCAAGCAGTTTCAAAATACAAAAGCATATATAAATAGCAGTCTGTATCCAGGGAAACACATTTTCTCTTTAATAAAAATATTCTTGATTTTAAAGAACACATTAAAATGATTGTTTTAATTTCAAAATGTCAAATTCTGAGAGAACAGAATAATTATTTCATAAAACTCTGAAAAACAAAGAATCAGAATTACTTCTTACCTCCCACATGTATACATTATTCTTAACCTGAGATCTTTTTTTCTTATCACCAACAAATGGCCCAAATTTTTTGCCTTTTAAAATTGGTTTAGTGGCCCAGACACCTAGAAAATAAAATCAGTATTTTTATAATGTATCTGGTTATTTTAAAGATTGAAACCATTAAAATCAATTAAGTTTCACAAAATAGGTAAAAGGCTAGACTGCCTAAATCAAGCTAATGTTAAATAGCCTGAGATCAAGTTAAATTAAGTCAAGTCCTCAATGGGGATTTTTATTTTTCTTCTTTATACTCTTCTGTTCTATAAAGAACCTACATTGTTTTATAATTAGAAAAAAATGTTGTATATATTTTTTAATGTTTTACATGTAACACTACCCATACAGTAGGATCACAAATACTTGAATAACAGTCACAACAACTGAAGAGAAAAAATATTGGAATGGAGTGAAACTACAACTGATTTTTAAACTCCTCTGTCTGCTTGTCTGTAAAGTTCAAATTGTCCCTAATGAACATGACTTGTTCTTTTAAAGGGTTAGAAATATAGTTTTATGAATAAATATTTTTGAAGTTCATTTGCTTAAAGTGGAAAACGCTTTCCTGCCTAACTAAGCTTCCTGAAAACTTAGCTACTGGAATGGCTCACTTTTCAGTTTCTAACAGCCAAAATAGCTGTTCATCCACAGTATTCTTAGGGTTATTTCTATTTACTATGCACTGACCATAACAGAAAGAGATTTAATGAGCAAGCAGGCAGTGAAATGGCAGGAGTCTGGCCCAGCAGTCAACAAACTGGCACACAGCAGCACCTCAGATTGGTTCCCTCACCTTTTGGCTTCAGTTTCCTCATATACGGAATGGGGGGTAAAGGCTGGGCCGGTCCTATCCTGCTAGGATGTACAATTCCCACTTTTCTGTAAGTCTGCTATGAACTGCATTTGACAACAACACTAACAATCAATTAGTTGAGCTATAAAATCAACCACTTTCATTTGAACAATATATTCAAACTGCTCAATGAATAAGTTTCCAATGAGAATTTTTAAAAGCATGTGTTAAAATTTTTTCACACACGTGTACATATAAATTAGAGTATCGGAAGTACATCTAAAAAAAAGAAACAGGGATATAAATATGATGTATTCCAAGACTGTATTTTGACTAAAGTTTTACAATTCACTTCCTTAGCCTTCTGTCTAAAGATTAGGCCACAAAAAGACCAAACACACACAAGCTTGGTTTGTGTTCAAGGAGAAATCCCAGCCAGAAGAATTTAGATACACTCACAGCATGTCATTCATTCAAGTATCTACTGAGGGTCCACAAAGTGTCTGGTACTGGAGGCACAAAGATACATAAGAAATAAAGGCACAAGAAACAACAGGGCCAAGTGTAAAAATAATTACAAAACAATGAAGTGAATATAATGGCACAATCACGCTCATCATGGTGAAATCAGAGAGAAGGGAACAACACATTCTGTGGGGCGAGGTTCAGCAACGAGACTCATAGGAGGAGGACACTTGGGCAAGTAAAGAAGGATGGGACGTGTGTGTGTGTGTGTGTGTGTGTGTGTGTGTGTGTGTGTGTGTGTTTTCCCAGTTTTATTTTTATAACCCATGTCCAACCTGGATTCTTGACTGGAAAATGCATCAACACCATAAAATCTTCTAGGTCAAGGGTAAATCCGCTGCTTTTATGGTGTGCTCCCTACCTGACATGCCCCTGCAGGAAGCCGCACTGCCACCTGCTCTTTACTGCCTGACTTGCTCCGGGACAGGAGGAGTACTCACCAATCCGGGTCTTGTCAACAGCAGAAGGGAAAAGCCTCACTTCCTCCGGAAGTCCTCGCAGCACATGTTCGGGTACCTCAGCCAGGGTCTCGGTGGCCACCGCAGGCTCAGTAGTGTTCTGCAAGTCAAGAAATAGAAGGATCATAGCAAAAGAAAGAAAACCCAAATCGTGGGGTTGGTTTTTTTTCTGGTTCAATAAGCAAATATGCAAAAATGTAATCAAAACCTGAAGCTGGCAAGCCAGACCAAAACGATGATGTCAAGCATTTGAGGAGCTGCTTTGATGCTTGTTTGTAACTGTCCAAAGGAAACCACTGCAGCCTTCAAGCATGTCTGTGTTACTCTATTTTGTTCCAGCCACCTGTGGCCATTTGCAAAACATGATAATCTCTGGCACCATACTGCTTTAAACTCAAATAGAATCTGGCAGCAAAATATAGCATAAGCTTACTTCTAAATCAAAGGCTACCATCAGTACCTTAGCACATTTAAAAAATAAAAACCAACACTGCCCACTTCAATGAATGCTTTCAGCACACACCACAAAGGCTACTGGGGCCCTCCAACCCTGCCCCATCCATGTTGCCCTCCAACAACAACCCCTAACTGGATGGGGCCTGAATATTCCATTCCAGAACACGACAACTTATTGTGGTCCCTCACTGCAAGTGCCACCTCTCCAGGAAACAGTAATTTACCGCTGTTCACCAAGTCACTAAACAGCAAAATCACCAGGATATCACCGAGTTGCTAAGAAACAGAGAATTTTTTTAAATCACTTTTCAAAGTTCATGCTGGAATTCATAATCTTAAGATTACTATTAGGTACGTATGTAAGGAAGGGAGAGATTTGAGCCAACTGGTAGAATATGACTGTTATTTTTTGATAACTTTCAAATCAAAGGAACACCAAGGGTCTAGTAACCGGTACATCATATATCCTACGGAGCTGATGTGCTTATCCAGTCTAACTGATGTGCGTATCACAGCACTGCTAAGAATGATAGGCGTTGTAGTCTGAGTGTGTTTCATTTCACTGCACAGGGAAACATTTCTCCAGAACTTTTAAAGGAACCAACATAAGCAAAAGTAAACCCCCAAACAAAAAAGATCAATTTTTCCGACAACAATGAAGCTCTTGTCGTCCTCAAGAATATATGTACAAAGAAAAGAATATCATCCAAACTGGTATACTCTCAGCATTTCAATTTTTGGTTTATTAATTATCAACAGTCTACTTCAAGAGAAATAAATCTCACTGTCACAAACATGGTCATCTACTCTCTGGCCTGCTTCAAGCTGGAGAGCCCAAGACAGGGCATCTAGAGACAGGTTCGTCTCTCGTGCAGAGCCGAGCCAAATGAGCCTACATTTCAGACACATAAATGCTTTGTTCCTGCTTGATTTACACCTTTGTCCCAACAATATCCCCGAAACATTTTCAAAACATAAGATAGCCAATTAGCCCCAGAAAATGGTCTTACTGGTACTTCCAATTAGCTAAATTGTGAATAAATTAACTACAGACATTTTTCACTTCTAAATATAGTGTCCCCGTTTTTAAATTCTTAATCTATAAGCTGGATTTTTGGAAACGTGAACAATTTATTTCCAAAGAGGGAAAAGGTATTACATTGGTAGTTGCCATTGGCATCCTAAGCTACATAATGATTATTTCCTAACACTGATAAAGTAAGTGACATTAACAAATATTAGCCAGAGTGATGTCCTATCAGTACTGGCCATTTAGTAAAGTAAAAGGGGGTCTTCTTCTTCCGTCTCAGTTGGGACCCTAGGCAAACACGCAGCACCATTTATTCTCCCCAGAAGCACAGCCGATTTCAAAAGTCACCGTGTCTGCTAACCTAAACGGATACTTCCAGGCACTTTCACAGTGATTCTAATGACAACTTCATATTTACTGAGAACTTCCTTGCTCAAGGCACTGTGCTGTCTTATGTGCTGGGGAGAATTTACTCCAAATAGCCCAAGAAACAGGTGTTATCAGTGTCTCCCCCTCTCCACACAGAGCAGGGAATTAGAGCTTACGGACGTTGCTTAAATGGCTCAAAGCCTGGATCTGAACCCGTATCTGTCCGATCTGAGTGCCTATGGTCAGTCCTAACCATCATGGAGTTTTCACTTAAGATTCTGCTGGAATATCATCTAAGAACCTCTGCCCTAAAACTTCCAGATTTCCATGGAAATGTCAGCAGGAGATGGTGCTTAAGGCAGGAATGGTCATTCCCATAGGAAATGTGTAACTTCAAGTTGGAGATCACGTGTATTAAAATTTCTGAAGCACCCGAGAACATAAAGGACCTCAGCAGAGAGGCCATGGGAAAAAGAAATACCAAAAAATCCTATGCATTTGTTTATCTGTTTTAAGTCAACCCATTATTTTTTGTCTTTTTTTTTCTTTTAAATTACTCTTTTATTCCACCTCTTGTCCCAGTAGACCCATTGGTTTTCCTTTTGGACTCATACACCCAGTAGAGGAAAGCTTTTTCTGTTATTGTCGTATCCTTCACACTACAAAAGGACCGAACTACAAGAGGAGCACCTCAGCTCACAGCAGCACAACCCAGACACTGGGCAGCCCCAGGGCCGGCCCTCCCTTCCACCCACACCCCCACTGGGCTCTCCATGGCCGTGGCTATGGCTGCAAACTGTCTAGAACATTTCTAGAAAATCAATGATTTGAGGAGTAGAAAGTACACTGGACTTCCTGAATAGTCCAGTCTACTAGTAAATAGTCCGGTCTACTAGAAAGTAGGCTGGACTTCCTAAATAGAACCACCCTCTTTTCTTGCTTGGTTCTCCTTCATAGCTCTTACCACAGTTTTAAATGCTTATTTGTATAGCTCTGTGTTTACTGTGTGCCTCCTCTGTGAGACTGCAGTGAAGACAGATGGTATCTATCTTATTCAATGTTGTGTTCCCCCAGCTTAGCAGTAGATTTCAAATGTTTGTTGTCACTTAAATACTTGAATGAGTGCATGGCTCTTTGTAAGCTAACTTAAAGCTTTTTCTAAAAAGGGGGATAGAAATAAATAAAAGAGCAGGGTCATCTATCAGGAAGTATCTTCTCCACATGAGCCTGAATTTCTTGAATTTGAGGTAGGTATTCTTCTGGATCAATATAAGAACCCTTTTTTAGAAAATGTGGTATGCCATTAATTCCAAGCAATCAATATACAAGTAAACCTTAGGAACAAAGGAATGTTTTCAAAAAGTTCTCTCCCCTACATACTCATAAACTGGGATCTCTTCTTGGTATTATCCTGATAGGATTAGATGTAATATTATATCTAAATGGGTTCATCTTGATTCTTACACTAAAGAATCACAATTTGATCCTGGCACTATTTCCCAGATTGATCTTGTCTAAAATAAATTGCACCATCTACTCTATATATTTATTTATATATTTCCGAATCCTGCTATGGGCCAGGCAATGTTCTAGGCAGCACACTTGTCTCAACAAGGCATCACTCTGGTGAGAAATAGAGACAAAATTAAACACATACATACAACGGCTGATGCCCTGTAGAAAACTCAAGCACAAAAAAGGGGACACATGCCTTCTGATCAATGGCGAATAAAAAAAGGAGGGGAATGTCGGGTGCAATGGCTCACGCCTGTGATCCCAACACTTTGGAAGGCCAAGGCAGGCAGATTACCTGAGGTCAGGAGTTCGAGACCAGCCTGGCCAACATGGTGAAACCCTGTCTCTACTAAAAATACAAAAATTAGCTAGGCGTGGTGGTGGGCGCCTGTAATCCCAGCTACTCAGAAGGCTGAGGCAAGAGAACTGCTTGAGCCCGGGAGGCAGAGGTTGCAGTGAGCCGAGATCGTGCCACTGCACTCTAGCCTGGCTGACAGAGCGAGACTGTCTCCAAAAAAAAGAAAAAAAAAGAAAAAAAAACAGGAAACACAGTCACGGAGTCATGGAATAGGGATGGGGATGCCTTTTCAGACAGACAGGTGAGGCCTCTCCAGAATTAGAAAGGAAATCTGTGACAATATCGGGGAAACATGCCAGGAAAGGAAAACAGCCAGGACCAAATCTCAAATTAAGAGGAAAAGCAGTATCTGGGCAAAAAGACCAATGTGTCCAGAGCAGAGAAGTTGGGAGAAGCAGCTAGAACTGAGGCAGGAGGGGCAGGCAGGGGTAAGGCCTCTGAGAAACACTCATCGCCATTCACTCGTCTACCCATTCACGGAGTAGAAGTCATCAAGCAGAGAGCAGAGAGCAGATCGCAAGCTCTGCAAGGCACCCCAACTGCTGGCGTTCCCAGCACACCCCATCCTTGCTGCCCCTGAATAGAAGTATGTTCCTGTCTTATGGGTTTTTAACACTGATTACTGTGATATGAAAGAAGCTAAAGGACTTCTCTGCTTTCCTGTTAGTTGACCTCAATGAGGACTCATTATTTGACTGCTTAATGAAGTACAGTCTTTAAACATGTATCAGTGAACAGATCTGGAACAATAAGTATTAAATTTAACATGTTAAATTTAAGTCAATTTAATGTCATTTAGTTATTAACTATTAATTGATCTCATTAATCCGATGTTTCCAACTTCCTACCTCAAACTCAAAGAAAGTCACTACTCGCTTCTCTTCCCCCAATTAATCGCCAAAGCCTCCCTCCTTCATTCAGCCCATTCGTCAGACACTAACACATACTCCCTGAGTGTCTGCTCAGAGCTAGCACCATGCTAGGTGGTAAGGATCAAGGACCCCCTCCTCATGAAGTCCACTGGCTAGAGAAAGAACTTCTCTGTTCCTGCTCCCTGAGATAAGAAACCTTAGAGAGATTTTGATTCATGAGGTTTGACCTTGCTAGGGAGCCTCTGAAGGGCCTTTCTACTGCTTTCCTGATACATTTCCTCTGACCCAGGATGACCTTCCCATGCTGGACGGGGTGAGGAGCTTAGGGAGTACAACATGTATTCCATCCTCCGGGCCAAGATCTGTGCTAAGCACTTTACATGCATTACCTCATTTAATCCTCACAACAATAACAATCACAACTAACACAGATGGAGCGTTGGAGATACGTCAGACACAATTCCAAGCACTTATCACCTCACTTAATCTGCACACTACCA